AATTTTAATAAGAAAAATAATGAAAAGTACAATAACGGTCAGAAGGCAGCGAAAAGCAGAAACAGAAAAATTTTTTTCAATTTTATTTTTATTGTTTTTTATTTTTTTTAAAAATTTTCATGTCTTAAATAAGTTCACATTTGGTTGTTTTTCTTTCTGTGTGTCTTTACATTTCATTGAACCAGATTTCTTTCGCCGATTGAATATTTTAAATTTTTTAGTTACATAAATTTATATTGTTTTTTCAATTTTTTTTATAAAAATATTAAATGATAATAAATAAATTGGAAATATATTAAAATAAAGAATAAAAAAAAAAGTAAGATCGGGAAGTGCAAGACGAACAACGTTGGCGCTAAGAGTATAAGAATATAAAGTTTAGGCATTATGAAATGAAAAAAAAATTTGAAAAAAAATTTACCTGATTTTTTCTATAAAAAAATATATATATTTTTTTCATTATATAAAAAAAAATAATTATAAACTATTTCTATTACTAAAAATGTTTATGGTTTTTTGTTCATTTTTTTTTTTTTGATCAAATATTAGAGAAGTTATTTCATAAAAATAATATATAAAAAATTAAAATTTTTAATTCAATATAACAAACATTTTTGTTACACATTTCACAAATATATATATATATATATATATATATATATATATATGATATATTCATGTTTTAATATTTTTTATAAGTAATTTCATTAATTTTAAATTAAAAAAGAATTCAATTGTTATATTGCTTTGAACCGTTGTATCTTAGAAATGATTAATTATTTATTAAAAAAAATTCTTCAATCAAATTTTTTTTTTTTTTTTTAATGTTTTATGAACGAAATTTAAAAACAAATAAAATGGATTTTTTTTCTAAATTATTTCAAAAAAAGTTAAATTGCTGTTCTGACCTATTTTCCAGTTTTCCTTTTTTTTAATCTTTTAAACTAATTTAATAATCTGTCATTGGTGGTTCTTCTTAATTTGGATTTTTTTTATAAAAAAATTTCAGTTTGAAATGTTTTCACTTTAATGAATGCCTGAATGATGTTTTGTTATTCTGTGTCATTGAATAAAAATTCTAGAAAGAAAATAAATATTTATTTTTCTTTTAAAATTAAAAAAAAATTATTTTTTTTTTTTATTTAATTTGTTTAATTTAAATTTTTTTTCCATTTTCCAAATTATTTAATTAAATCAATATTTTTAATATTTTTTTATTTTGAAAAAAAAAAAAATTTAAATTATTATTTGTTTAAAAATGTTTTTTTTTTTTTTTTTAATATATTAAACATTTAAAAAATATAAATATATTTTTTGTTTTTTTTGTTAACTATTAAATATAAAAATTGAACATTGTTTTGACTTTTCAAACCCAGTTTCTCCCTCTTTCTATATATTTTATAAATATATATATATATAATTTATTTTATATTAAACGCCCGGTCATACAAATATTTTCTATCCCTGGACAAGCGCAAATATCACATATATAAATATATAAAATAAATAAAGAATTTTTTTAAAAAATTTCTCTCTTGGCCTATGTATATTAATTCATGTTTTTTCTCCCGTGATGTTTGCAGTCTGTGGCATTGCCTCTTCATTTTGAGGGTACACGGTTGACAATTTCACTGGTTGCTGTTTTTCCGACTGGTTTGGTTAAAGCCCTAACTCTTGCGTAGCGTCTTGAGCGGCCGCTCTGATCAACAGTTGTATAATACCAGGGTGTTTGTAGTGCCATGACGCGCACATGGAAAGGTGTCCCTGCAGTCACCTCCGGTGGGCAACCCTTTTCCACATTATGATGCAGGCTTTGCCAACTCCTCTCTGCTCACGTTGCGGTCGATAACCATCTGCTTCTTTTTTTTTTTATAGGCCTTCTCATCTTCCAACAATCACTCAACATGAAGACTCGAATGAATCAAAAAATATAAAACTAAAAAAGCCTCCGCAAAAAATCACCTAAACCCTTACAACATTTCGTTCTCCAACATCCGTGGCATTAGAACAAACTTCTGCAGTTTGGAATCTTTCCTCACTGCAAACTGCCCGGATATACTGGCTCTGTGTGAGACAAACCTTGTCTTGTCTATTTCCTCCTCTGATCTCTCGATCCCTGGCTATTTCCTCTCCTCAGGAAAGACTCTCTAACCCACATGCACGGCTTTGGTGTCTATGTCAAGGACCATCTCCCCTGGCCAGAGAGCTGTCTCTCGAATCGCCAGACCAGTCGTACATGTGTCTCCGACTATCTCTCCTCAATGCCGTAAGCTATCTCTTCTTCCTCTATCGCTCTCCATCCTCTCAAGACTGTGGGATACTTGATAGCATATCTGACAGCATAGACAAGGCCCTCTCTCTCCACCCGTTTGCTCATATATTTTTGTGTTTGGTGACTTTAATATATATCATACCAAGTGGCTCGAGAATGCTACTACTGACCGGGCTGGCATTCAAACATTTAATTTTCAATTTCTCAATCCCTCACGCAGATAGTCGACTTCCCCACGCGTTTTTGCCCTCGACCTGGCAGGTAAATTTCTCTTCTCGACCTGTGTTTTACCTCCATCCCCGAATCTTGTAGCGCCACACAGCTCTGCCCTCTTGGTAACTCTGATCATGCTGTAGTATCTGTCAACATTTCCTTCAACTCCACCCCCTGCAAAGAACCTCCTATCACAAGAACCTCGTTCTACTACTATCAACGAGCGGATTGGGACTCGTTCCGTGATTTCCTCCATAATGTCCCCTGGGATGTTGTCTTTACACTCCCTGTCCAAGAATGTGCTTCTGAGGTCTCATCCTGGGTTAAAGCTGGAATCGACGCTTTCATCCCCTCAAAAGGAAATTTAAGGTCAAGTCGCACTCCTCCCTTGGTTCTCCGCTGCTTGCTCATCTGCCATCGCCCATAGGAATCCACTTCTTTCACCGATTCCGTAGCGACATGTCTGACTGCAATAGACGTCTCTTTGCCTCTGCCCGTAACGAGTGTAAGCGTGTCCTCAACGAAGCTAAGTCAATATTTGCTGCTCGAATGAAGGAACGTATTGCATCTCATTTTGGCTCCAAAGATTATTGGCGAGTCTGCAAGAGTGTCCTGAATAATCGAAAACCCTCCATACCTCCTTTATTCAACCAGTTCGAGGTCTTGACCTCCTCTACCGACAAGGCTGAATGCTTTGCTCGGAAATTCTCATTTAATTCAACGCTCGACTCCACCGGTGTACCCATACCAGACTTCCCTCTTAGAACTGAGGCCTTATTGAGCGGCTTACATAACCCCGTCATTGGTACTGGGCATTATCTCCAATTTAGACCCCCACAAGGCTAGTGGTGGAGATGGCATACCAGCCATTGTCCTGAAGAAATGCGCGCCTGAACTAGCACCCGCCCTCTCTAAACTATATAATTACTGCCTCAAGGAATCATGTTTTCCTGACTGCTGGAAGTCCTCATCCATTGTTCCTGTGTTTAAGAACTCTGGAGACCCCTCTGACCCCACTAATTACCATTCTATTAGTCTCCTACCCCTCTTCGGCAAAGTCTTCGAAGCCCTAATCAATGCCGAAGTGGTTAATCACCTTACATCCCATAATCTGCTCTCAGACAAGCAATATGGTTTCCGCTTTGCCCGATCTACAGCTGATGTGCTTACGGCCATCACTGAAACCGTCTACCAAGCCCTTCAAAATAACGGTGAGGCTCGTGCCGTGGCCCTCGACATCTCCAAAGCATTTGATAGGGTTTGGCATGCCGGCCTTCTTCGTAAGCTCCAGGGTTATGGTGTTACTGGTCAATTGTTTGATCTAATACAATCATTCCTGTCAAACCGTGAATTGAAGGTCGTTCTCAACGGATTCTCCTCCAGTTCCTATCCCACGAACGCAGGTGTTCCCCAAGGCTCCATCCTTGGCCCCACTCTTTTCCTTATTTTCATCAATGACCTTCCTGACGCTATAGATTCCCAAGTTGGCATCTACGCAGACGACACTACAATTTACTCCTGCCTCAAAAAAAAAATCTAGTGTCGTCGGCGACAAAACTAACCTGGCCGTGCGTCTTGAAATGGACCTCCAATCGGTTGTTAACTGGGGCAAGAATTGGCTGGTCAACTTTAACGCCACAAAAAAAAACTACTCTCCATTAATCACCATAGAGATCCTTCCCTGCCCCCCATTAAAATGTCTGATAGTCAACTTCCTGAGAGCAACTCCTGCGTCTGCTCGGTCTCACGTTGACTGCTGACCTGAGATGGAACAAATACATTGAGTCAATTGCTTCTTCCACCGCGAGGAAAGTTGGCTCTCTGTGCCGCGCCAGGAAATTTTTTCTCCCCTGAATCGATACTTCAAATATACAAAACAACCATTCGCCCTTGCATGGAGTATTGCTGCCATATATGGTCTGGAGCACCTTCTGTTTACCTCGGAGTTCTTGACAAGATCCAGAGACGGATATGTAATATAATTGGCCCTGATCTGGCGTCTTGTCTGCAGTCACTCTCTCACAGACGCGCCGTCGCCTCTCTCTGTCTTTTCTTTTCTACAAATACTTTCATGGTAATTGCTCTGATGAGCTGCTTTCACTGGTTCCCAGACTCCATGAATTCAAGCGCCCTACGAGGCTGGCATCCCGCTCCCACCCTTACACTGTAGAAACTTTTAAATGTAGCCGTCTCTTCTTCTCCAATAGCTTCATACCTCGCACCTCTCGCCAGTGGAACACCCTTCCCAATTACTGTTTCCCTGAAAGCTATAATCTCCAACTATTCAAATGTAATGTCAATCGACATCTCCAGTTACCTTGATCTACCCACTATCCTTCTCCTCCATCCTTTCTCCTATCACTCCTATCTGCTCTCGCTCCAAATCTTCCGCAACCCCTGCATCCTAGTGGCTTCACGGATACGGCCCATATAAGAAGAAAGTGAGTGAATACACTCTGTTAAAATCTATCTATCTATGAGTGTCAAATTCTTCAGACCCTCATCCCAAGAAATTTCAACTCTCTGGTAAGAACTTACTGCGATAGGTACATAGAAACAGCGAGATAGAGATGAAACAGAGTGAGATAGATAGATAAATAGAAACTGAGTGAGATAGATAGATAGATAGATAGATAGATAGATAGATAGATAGAAACTGAGTGAGATAGATAGATAGAAACTGAGTGAGATAGATAGATAGATAGATAGAAACTGAGTGAGATAGATAGATAGAAACTGAGTGAGATAGATAGATAGATAGATAGAAACTGAGTGAGATAGATAGATAGATAGATAGATATATAGATAGAAACTGAGTGAGATATATATATAGACAGAAACTGAGTGAGATAGATAGATAGATAGATAGATAGATAGATAGATAGATATATATATAGACAGAAACTGAGTGAGATAGATAGATAGATAGATAGATAGATAGATAGATAGATAGATAGATAGACAGAAACTGAAAAGATAGATAGATAGATAGATAGATAGATAGATAGATAGATAGATAGATAGATACAAACAGAGTGAGATAAATAGACAGACTCAGGGTGAAATAGATAGAAGTAGACTGAGATAGATAGAAAAGGAGTGAGATAGAAATAGATTTAGATAGATAGATAGATAGATGAAAAACGTTAAATGTCCGAGAGTAAGATTGACAGCAGGATAGATAGATAGATAGATAGATAGATAGATAGATAGATAGATAGATGAAAAACGTTAAATGTCCGAGAGTAAGATTGACAGCAGGATAGATAGATAGATAGATAGATAGATAGATAGATAGATAGATGAAAAACGTTAAATGTCCGAGAGTAAGATTGACAGCAGGATAGATAGATAGATAGATAGATAGAGAGAGAGAGAGAGAGAGAGAGAGAGAGAGAAGGGGGAATAAAAAGAAAACGAAAAGACAGAAAAGGAAAGATGAAGGGAAATTAAAAAAAAAAAAAGGAATTTTAATAACGAAAGTATAAATTTTTGGGTAGCGACAAACTTTGGATATCTGGATTTGCTAATGTAACTAGTTCAGTAGAATATCAATTCTAAATACAATGCCGTAAAGAGAAACTATTTCCCTGTATTTCCCCAAAGCAGTCGAGGCAGTTTACTGAAAAAGAAAAAGAAGCTGTGTACAGGCACGACTTCCTATGTTCTGAAAGGACGTGGTATTTGAAAAAAAAAAATCTAGCCCGCTCCACGAACCCCCCCCAACCCCCCCAAAAAAGTTATCGAAATTTAAAATTAATTGATCTGATGAACTTTTCTCTATGAAAGATAGACTTTATCTCTATAGATAGACTTTATGAATTTAAGCGTAGTGCCAGATTGGCAGCAATGTCTCACCATTTTACACTTAAAATGGCAAGATATAGCCATAAGTTCTATGCTGCTAATAGTTTCTTTTTTCTCACTTCTCGCCCGTGGTTCTCTTTTCCAGTTACTTGCTTCTCAGCCATCTTTGATCTTCAAAAAATTTAATTCTAGTGCGAATCGTTATCTTCTGTTTTCTTAATTCTTGTTCTTTTATTGACCTCTCTCGTTAAAGTAACCCCGTTATTGCTTTGCTTGGAGCGAAATGATTAAATAAAAAAAAAGGAGAAAAATAACTTGAGTTGCATAAAATGCTTATATTGCAAGCAATGGGCATTCTTTAAATGTATCCCTGTGTCAAAGTCGGCATAGTCCATCCCATATTAGGGAAATAACTTTACCCGCCAGAATGTTTTAAATAATAATGTTAACTGTAAAAATATGCTTGTAGCTGATGAATATTCGATTGCAAAAGAAATATTTGTGTGTATAGATCTATCGATTTGGTTGTCATCAAACGAACACTTCCGACCACATCTGTCATCCATAGCTATACCCAGTTCTTTTCTGATTCTGGTATCATCTTTGAGTTGACCAATGAAGGTCCTTTCTAGTTTAATTCTTGATCCTTTCCCTCTAATTTGGATCCTATAGTATTTTGTGTAGTTTTGTAAATATTTCAATGTATCATTACATCATCATCAGGAATTTATAAATGGAAGTAATTATCTCTTTATGGTATAAGTAAACGTAAATCTAGAAAAAGTTGATAAAAAAAGAAGAGAAAAATTGAAATTGAAAATGAGATGAAAGAAAGATATAAAAAAGTGATTATCAAGCAGAAAATGAGAAATTTAGGTAGAAGAGGGAATAAAAGAAAGATTTAAGAAAAAAATGAAGTAGAGATTTAAGCAGAAGAGAGAAAAAAAGAGGGATTTAAGTAGAAGGAAAAAAGGAGAGACTTGTGGAAGTGAAAAAAAAAGGGAGATTTAAGCAGAATAGAGAAAAGAAAGATTTAAATAGAAGAGAGAAAAATGAGTTAGTTAAGAAAAAGAGTGGAAGATAAGAGATTTAAGTAGAAGAGAAAAAAGAAAGAATTAAGTAGAAAGGGGAGATTTAAGTAGGAGAGAAAAAGAGAGATTTAAATAGAAGAAAGAAAAATGAGAGATAAAAGCGGCAGATTGAAATCGAGAGATTTAAATAGAAGAGGGAAAAGTAGAGATTTAGGAAAAAGGAAAGATTTATGCAGAAAAGAAAAAACAAGAGAGATTAATGTCGAAGAAAGAAAAAGAAGAGGTCTAAGTAAAACAGATGAAGAGGAGAGTTAAATAGAAGAGAGAAAAGGGAGAGACTTATGAAGAAGAGAGAAAAGGAGAGATACTTAGAAGAGAGAAAAGGGAGAGGGTTATGTAGAAGAGAGAAAAGGGAGAGGCTTATGTAGAAGAGAGAAAAGGGAGAGGCTTATGTAGAAGAGAGATAAAGAGAGGATTATGTAGAAGAGAGAAAGGGAGAGGTTTATATAGAAGAGAGAAATGGGAGAGGCTTATGTAGAAGAGAGAAATGGGAGAGGCTTATGTAGAAGAGAGAAATGGGAGAGGCTTATGTAGAAGAGAGAAATGGGAGAGGCTTATGTAGAAGAGAGAAATGGAGTGGCTAATGTAGAAGAGAGAAAGGGAGAAGCTTATATAGAAGAGAGAAAAGGAGAGACTAATGTGAAGAGAGAAATGGGAGAAATGTCTTATGTAGCAGAGAGAAATGGGAGAGGCTTATGTAGAAGAGAGAAATGTGAGAGGCTTATGTTTTAAGAGAGAAATGGGAGAGGCTTATGTAGAAGAGAGAAAAGGGAGAGGCTTATGCAGAAGAGAGAGTAGGGAGAGGCTTATGTAGAAGAGAGAAAGGGAGAGGCTTACGTAGAAGAGAGAATAGAGAGAGGCTTACGTAGAAGAGAGAAAAGGGAGAGGCTTATGTAGAAGTGGGGAAAAGGGAGAGGCTAATGTAGAAGAGAAAAAAGGGTTGAGGCTAATGTAGAAGAGAGAAAAGGAGAGGCTTATATAGAAGAGAGAATAGGGAGAGGCTTATGTAGAAGAGAGAATAGGGAGAGGCTTATGCAGAAGAGAGAAAAGGAGAAGTTTATGCAGAAGGGAGAAAAAGGAGAGGCTTATGGAGAAGAGAGAATAGGGAGAGGCTTACGTAGAAGAGAGAATAGGGAGAGGCTTATGTAGAAGAGAGAAAAGGATAGGCTAATGTAGAAGAGAGAATAGGGAGAGGCTTACGTAGAAGAGAGAAAAGGGAGAGGCTTATGTAGAAGTGGGGAAAAGGGAGAGGCTAATGTAGAAGAGAGAAAAGGAGAGGCTTATATAGAAGAGCGAATAGGGAGAGGCTTATGTAGAAGAGAGAATAGGGAGAGGCTTATGTAGAAGAGAGAATAGGGAGAGGCTTATGCAGAAGAGAGAATAGGGAGAGGCTTATGCAGAAGAGAGAAAAGGAGAAGTTTATGCAGAAGGGAGAAAAAGGAGAGGCTTATGTAGAAGAGAGAATAGGGAGAGGCTTACGTAGAAGAGAGAATAGGGAGAGGCTTATGTAGAAGAGAGAAATGGGAGAGGCTTATGTAGAAGAGAGAAAAGGGAGAGGCTTATGCAGAAGAGAGAAAGGGAGAAGCTTACGTAGAAGAGAGAATAGGGAGAGGCTTACGTAGAAGAGAGAAAAGGGAGAGGCTTATGTAGAAGTGGGGAAAAGGAGGGCTAATGTAGAAGAGAAAAGGGTTAATTGGCTAATGTAGAAGAGAGAAAGGAGAGGCTTATATAGAAGAGAGAATAGGAGAGGCTTATGTAGAAGAGAGATAGGGAGAGGCTTATGCAGAAGAGAGAAAAAGGAGAAGTTTATGCAGAAGGAGAAAAGGAGAGGCTTATGTAGAAGAGAGAATAGGAGAGGCTTACGAGAAGAGAGAGAATAGGAGAGGCTTATGTAGAAGAGAGAAAAGGATAGGCTAATGTAGAAGAGAGAAAAGGGTTGAGGCTTATATAGAAGAGAGAAAAGGAGAGGCTAATGTAGAAGAGAGAAAAGGGAGAGGCTTATGTTGAAGAGAGAAATGGGAGAGGCTTATGTAGAAGAGAGAAATGTGAGAGGCTTATGTAGAAGAGAGAAATGTGAGAGGCTTATGTAGAAGAGAGAAATGGAGTGGCTAATGTAGAAGAGAGAAAGGGAGAAGCTTATATAGAAGAGAGAAAAGGAGAGGCTAATGTGGAAGAGAGAAAGAGAGAGGTTTATGCAGAAGAGAGAAAAGGGAGAGGCTTATGTAGAAGAGAGAAAAGGGTTGAGGCTAATGCAGACGAGAGAAAAGGGTTGAGGCTTATATAGATGAGAGAAAAGGTGAGGCTTATATAGACGAGAGAATAGGGAGAGGCTTATATAGAAGAGAGAAATGGGAGAGGCTTATGTAGAAGAGAGAAAAGGGAGAGGCTTATGTTGAAGAGAGAAAAGGGAAGACATGTAGAAGGGAGAAAAGGAGAAACATGTAGAAGAGAATAGGGAGAGGCTTACGTAGAAGAGAGAATAGGGAGAGGCTTATGTAGAAGAGAGAAAAGGGAAGACATGTAGAAGGGAGAAAAGGGAGAGGTTTATGTAGAAGAGAGAAAAGGAGATGCTAATGTAGAAGAGAGAAAAGGGACAGGCTTATATAGAAGGAGAGGCTAATGTAGAAGAGAGAATAGGGAGAGGCTTATATAGAAGAGAGAAAAGGGAGAGGCTAATGTAGAAGAGAGAAAAGGGAGAGGCTTATGTAGAAGAGAGACAAGGGAGAGGCTTATGTAGAAGAGAGACAAGGGAGAGGCTTATGTAGAAGAGTAAAAGGGAAGACATGTAGAAGGGAGAAAAGGAGAAACATGTAGTAGAGAAAAGGGAGAGGTTTATGTAGAAGAGAGAAAAGGGAGAGATTCAAGTAGTGAAATTAATTTCAGTGTATCAATAAAAAGTAAAGAAAACCCTTAGAAAACTATGAACCAAGCAAAAAAATATTTAATCACCCCAACGAACTCTCTTGTAACAAACACAGCTCTCCGAAAATAAAGTGTTGGAAGTTGGTTGCTTATGATTGACTTTAATTCTCAAGTAATAAAAAAGTCAATGATACTCAAGTAGTGTGAGAAATAAAAAAAAAAATAAAGGAATTTGTGAAGTAGACTTGAAACAAGAAATAAAAAATAGATCAATCAGGGAAACTGAATAAAGAAAGAAGAAATAAAAAAAAAAATAGAAAATGGCAGAATGAAAGAAAGAAGAAAAACAATGACTGCCGAGAAAACAAGAAAAAACAAAAGAAAACGTAAGGGGAAATAAAATCAGTTGTTAAAAGAAAAAAAAAAAGAATGAAAATGAATGAATGATACAAGGAAAATAAAAAAGTAACAGCAAAGAAAGAAAGATAAAAAAGAAAAAAGTACGTATTGAGAAAATAAAGTAATCATTTATAGTAAGAAAGTAGAAAAGAATGGAAAAAAAGAAAGAGTGAAACAGAAAAGAAAAATGAAAAAGAGAGAAAGAAAGAAGGACGTAGACTGAAAAAATATTTTTAATGCTAATGTTCACCTAATATAAGACTCAAGAGCCTCTCGAAGGTTGTGCGTATGGGCCTAAGAAAAGCCAAGATGTGCAGTTCATGAGGTTATGTAAGAAAAAAAAAAGGGTTAATTTTAGACTTGAAGTCAAGATTGTAATTATCGGGAAAACGTTCTGTCGAGAGTCTGTCCCACATATCAGCAGTTCTTGGGAAGAAGCTGTCCGAGTGGAACTTTCTTCTTATTAATGGAATATGAGGGAATGAGGATGATTCATCCCGTGTGTACGTGGCATGGCGGGTCTCAAATGAAAAAAAGTCAGGGCCGGTGGTAGCAAGGAATGTGGCTGATCAGGAAGAAAGATATGAAGAAAAAAGAAAAGAAAGAAAAAAGAAAAGGAAAAAGAAAAGAAAGAAAAAAGAAAAGGAAAAAGAAAAGAAAGAAAAAAGAAAAGGAAAAAGAAAAGGAAAAAGAAAAGAAAGAAAAAAGAAAAGGGAAAAGAAAAGAAAGGAAAAAGAAAAGAAAGAAAAAAGAAAAGGAAAAAGAAAGGAAAGAAAAAAAGAAAAGGAAAAAGAAAAGAAAGAAAAAACAAAGAAATACGTAGCTCGAAAGAAGAAACAGAGAAATAATAAACGTGAAAAGAAAAAGAAAGAGAGAAAGAATAAAGAGAGAGAGAGAGAGAGAGAGAGAGAGAGAGAGAGAGAGAGAGAATAAAGAACGAAAAAGAAGAGAAAGAGAGCTTTGTACCAAAAAGAAAAAGGACACAAGAATAAAGAAAAAAATCAAGTGACAGAGAAAAGAAAGCGAGAAAAATGAGAGAATAATTTTTAGTCTTATGTAATATCGCTTTCTCCTATATGGAAGTAATTGCTGGACAATCTCTTCACAGATGAAGAAGAGGCCTGAGATAATAGAAATGTGGTTCTACAGAAGGATGCTGAGAATACTATGAACTGAACATATGAGTAACGACGAAGTTTTAGAGAAAGTAGAAACAAAAAGGCCACTTATACATAGAATCAGAAAGAGAAAAATGTAATTTCTTGGATATATCACGAGGAAAGAAGGTTTGAAAAATTTAACATTCACATGCAATGTTGAAGGCAAGAAGGACAGAGGAAAGGGGTTAAATAACCTGCCTTGTGTAAATAGTTGTCAGAATAAGGATTAGGAGAGATGGCAAAAAGACAAACATTGCTAAAAGCTACAAGGGACAGGAAGATGTAAAGGACCGTGATCGCCAACGTCTTGAAGAGACACGACACATTGCAATAGCAGAAGAAGGCTAACTTGGCAAATGAATTTCTTTTCCCCTTTTTATTTCTCGTCGAAAGTAAAAACAATTCAGAAGAATATTAAAACAATTATTAATATTCTAAAATAGCTAATTATTACTTATACTGAGAATTAACGAGATAGAGAACGAAAGAATGAACGAATAAACAAATGAACGAATATTTCAATTGAAAAACGCGTCTCTTCTCACTTTGAAATGAAATGCATCGGCCGAGCCATCAGCAAAATAATCAGATGTTTGTTATTATCAATAATATATTATTTATCGTTGCTGTTATAATAATTCATATTCAGTATCAATTGCCGTCATAGCAGTAATAATCGTAGATATGGCTACAGCATTTGGTGTTGGTAGTAGTTGTATTAAGTCGTTATTGTTGCCTCTTCCTACTCCTCCGTTCGCATCGTGTAACATGATGTGTGGAAAATTAATTATTTATGATGAATGTAAAAAGATTAAAACTGATGTCGCTAAAATGGCAAAATATTCTTTAATTCAATAGCACTTGCGGGGGAATTGTTGTCGCTAGCACGACGAAAGATAATGAGGCACAATTTAGAGACGGAAAAGCGATGCATTAAATGCTAAAGAGACCCCCCCATCCACATTAATTTTTGAAATAACGATGTAAAAAGAGAGAAGTTGGTAAGAGTTAAAATACAGATAGAAAAGGTGGTTAACTAGAGGAATAAACTGACCCCCCCCAAAAAAAAACAACAAAAAACAAAACAATTAAGAAGAGGATACTATGCTTAAAATTAAGTACTTTTAGGAGCCTAATAGAAGGTGGGGCATTTATTTCTTTTAGAAAAATTTCAGCCCCCACTGTTTTCCGACTTTATTAAGCATTATTATTTTTCTATATGCTGTGTCCGTTCAGGACGTTGGCGATCATGGCTCTCCACAATTTCCTGTCCTTTGTAGCTCTTAATAAATTTTGTGTTTTTGTTATATCTCCGAAACACTGTTCTGTCATCCATTTACGTAGGTTATTCTTTGTTATGCCTCTTACCTTCAATCTGTCTTGTGAGTGTCAAATTTTCCAAGCTGTCTTTCCTTATTATGTGCTCGAGAAATTTCAACTGTCCCTTCCCGATGTTAAGTATAAGTGTCCTTTTTGCTTCAATTTTCTTTATGGTATTCTCAGCATCCTTCTGTAGAACCACATTTCTGTTACCTCAGGTCTCTTCTTCATCTGCGAAAAGAATGTCCAGCATCCACTGCCACATAAGAGGACTGATATTACGCAGCAGTTCACTACTCTTTTTTCCTGTTTCTTAATACTTTGCTTAACTTTTGGAAGGCATCTTTCGCTATCCCAATGCGCCATTGAAGTTTAGTGTTGCACTTTCCATCCTCTTTTGAAAACACTTCCCAAATATTTTAATTGTTTTACTTGTTTGATTTTGGTATCTCCAATTTGTAAATTTCCTGTTGGTCTGCTCCTTTTGCCAACAACCATGCATTCTCTCTTCTTTCAATTGTTGCTTAGTCCTTTCTTCTCGCTTTCCTTCACTCCCTTATTAAGACTATTTCGTTCATTAAGTTCGCACTTTTCCCCAGCGTTCAAACAGAAAAGAGTAATTATTATAGGTGGTTCAAGATTTTATTTGCATGCTTTAAGGATTGCCTTGTTTAAAACAGCGTTCCATTGTTGTTTATTTTTTATTCCTTTCAGGATTACCACGTTTCATTCGTTGATTAACTTAAAACTTATCTCTATACAGATGAAGAAGTGACTTGAAGCAACAGAAATGTGGTTCTATAGAGGGATGCTGAGAATACCATAGATGAAACATGTGAGCAATAAAGAAGTTCTAGAGACAATAGCACCAAAAATGACAATTATGCTTAACATCAGGAAGAGACAAATTTTCTTGAGCACATAATGAGGAACGAGGGTTTGGAAAATTTGATACTCACAGGACAGACTGAAGATAATAGAGCCAAAAGGAAGCACAACTTACCTAACGAGCTTGAGCAAATGGATGATGGAGTAGGCTTTGGTAGAGATGGCAAAAGGCAAAAGCTACAAAGGGCAAGAAGTTGTGGAGGGCCATGATTTCTAATGTTCTGAAGGGACACGACATGAAGAAGAAGAAGAAGAAGAAGAAGAAGACTTAAGTTCTAAATTAACCATTTAAATAATTTTCTGATCCCTTTATGTTAAAACTCCCAAGTTATTTATCATCTATATTGACAAAAAATCCCGACCCTTCAATAATTAAGACCGCACCGTGTATTAGGCACGTAAGAGTAGATAGATAGATAGATAGATAGATAGATATGAACAGATATGAACAAATATGAACAGGGGATAGATAGATAGATAGATAGATATGAACAGAGGATAGATAGATAGATAGATAGATAGATAGATAGATAGATAGATAGATAGATATGAACAGGGGATAGATAGATAGATAGATATGAACAGACAGGAGATAGATAGATAGATAGATAGATAGAAAGATATGAACAGACAGGATATATATATATATATATATATATATATATATATAGAGAGAGAGAGAGAGAGATAGATAGATAGATAGATAGATAGATAGATAGATAGATAGATAGATAGATAGATAGATAGATAGATATGAACAGACAGGAGATATACAGATAGATATGAACAGACAGGAGATATATAGATAGATAGATAGATAGATAGATAGATAATCCACCATCAGATTTGGCAGTCGCAAATAACGAACAAGAAATATGCCAAATCGTAGACATGGTTGTACAAGCGGATCACAGGTTGACAACGAAATGAAGCGAAAAACTGAGAAAATACCAAAACCTTGTCCGAGAACATATCATTAAGGAATGTGAATTTACAGTCATGCCTGTAATAGCTGGTGCATTTGGAACACAAAATATTGGAATCGTGACGGGATGAAAGCTGAGGAAGAATTTATAATATCCAGACTACGGTAGTGCTGGGATTTGCAATGATACTGAGAAAGGTACTGTAGGTACAAGGAAACTTTCTGTTAGTC